CCAGACCACTCTCTAATCTCGGTTCCTTCACAGACTACATATACATTTTTCTCTCTGTCTGGAGTGTCCTCAGAACACTTTCTCTGCCTGAAAACCTTCTAATCATCCTCACTACTCTGCTGTAATATATCCATCATGATGAAGTAGGTTAGGACACTGGTTATGAGCAACAACTTTGCACTCAGGTAGACTGGGGCTCAAGACCTGCCTCTATTCTTCCCACCTATCACACCTCAGGCAAGTAGTTTTCCTCTCTAAGCTTCCAGTTTTCCCATATGCAAAAAGAGAATAAAAATAGTGACATCAGACTGATGGGAATGGATGAGAAGTTAAGTATTACATGCTTAGCACAGAGCCTGGCAAATTAAGCATTCATTAAATGCTAGTCTTCCCGTTGCTTCCCCCACCCCCCTCACTACCCACCTCCCACAGCCCCTTGCATTCCCTTCTGGAAAGCACAACATTTTGTTCCATATTTATTTCTCCTACTACTTTATGAGCCCTTGAACGGCAAAGACTACATTCTAGTCACCCCTGATTTTTCCAGCATCTAGAGTGATGTTTCTTGCTCACATAGAGCAATGAAAAACTTGCTATTTCCAAAATCAATGATTTTACTTTGAAAACTAAAACAAGGAATCACTATCAGCTTTCTTTAAATACCTGGCTCTGTAAGACATGGAGACAACCTAAATGTCCATCGACAGATGAATGGATAAAGAAGATGTGGTACATATATACAGTGGAATACTACTCAGCCATAAAAAGAACGAAATAATTCATTTGCAGCAACATGGATGCAACTAGAGATTATCATACTAAGTGAAGTAAGTCAGAAAGAGAAAGACAAATACCATATGATATCACTTATATGTGGAATCTAAAATATGGCACAAATGAACCTATCTATGAAACAAAAAGAATCACGGACATAGACAACAGACTGGTGGTTATCAAGGGGGAGGGGGTTGGAGGAGGGATGGAGTGGGAGGTTGGGGTTAGCAGATGTCAGCTGTTATATATGGAATGTATAAACAAAGTCCTACTGTATAGCCCAGAGAACTATATTTAATATTCTATGATAAACCATCATTGAAAAGAATATTTTAAAAAAGAATGTGTGTGTGTGTGTGTGTATATATATATATATATATATATATGTATGTATCACTGAATCACTTCACTGTATAGCAGTAATTAACAAAACACTGTAAATCAACTATATTTCAATAAAAAAATAATAAATACCTGGCTCTGAAAATGTCTGAGAATTACAGTTAGTCAAAATATATTTTAGCCTTCAACTAATTTATAAATACTAGGATCTTTATAAAAGATGATTTCTAATTTATAAGTTAGGAAATCAACTTGGTTCTTTGTGGCTAGGATTTAAGGTACTTGAGAAGGGGTAGAAGGAAATAGGTGAGTTTAAAGTGTTGGCACCAGGACTTAGAAGTTTGGTCTTTATCCTGTGAATAAAATTTTTAAAAGGAGAGTGCAGTGACCCAGTTTATAACTTGAGAAATCAGTCTGAGAAGAATGTGAAGTATGAACTGGGTCAAAGAGACATTAGTTATAGTAAGGCGCTTCAGGAATGGGCTCAGTCTCTACAAAGGAGACAAGGGCTTGGATAAAATGCCGATAAATAGGGATAGAGATAAGAGGGGGAAATGAGGGAGGAAGCCTGTATGCTCCTAAGGTGGCATCAATGACATCTGACCAACCGAATGGGGTTATGGTGGTGAGGGGGAAGGAAAATGCCCTTGGTTGTGTGTCATCGTGAACTGACAATGAATGCAGGAGGAGGTGAAAGGTATTGTGGGAAGTGAGAAATAATAGGTTCAAATTTTAATAAGTTACATTTGAAGTAGCTGAGGGATTTCCAAATAGAGGTGATCAGTAGACAATTATAAATGGATGTTTGTATTTGAGAAGCATGAGTCCACATGCTAGAAATCAGGAAGGAATAAAACACATGGTTCTATAAAGTCTTGAGGTGTAAATATTGGGACTCACTGTGTGAAACTTAAAAGTTCTGGGGCTTATTGGTAGGAATGTCTAAATACATTAATCTGCTTAACCTTAATGATAACCTTAGTAGGACAGTTAAAGCTCCAAATCTAGACATGTATGTTTACTGGAGACCACTCCCCAATTTTTTTTTTCCCTCTAGCAACAGCAGCACTTTCTAAAGAGTATGAAATTATGAAAGAAATGGGAGCCTTGAGGTCAGAATGGATTCAAATCTGAGCTTGGTCAGTTATTGGGTGAGTTACATTTAATAAATGACTTAATCGCTCAGAGCCTCAGTTTCTCCACCTTTAGAGGAAGATAGCAGTGGTAACCTTAGGGTTGCTATAAAGAGAGGCAAAACAGCATAGTGGCCAAGAACATGAGCCCTGAAAACAGACTGTCCTGAGTTTGAATTCTGCCTGTGCTATTCATTAGCTGTGTGACCTTGGCTAAGTTTCTGAACTTCTCTGGGCCTTAGTTTCCTTACCTGTAAAAAAGGGGTACCCTTTCCTTTGCTGTTTTTGAGTTGGTCAGTGACCAGTGTCACGCTTCCCAGTGCACCACTCCTGCAGAGAGAAACGAAGCACCTCCCCAAGAACAGGGTGAAGGTGCAAGTCGGGGACCACAGAAATTGTTACTGGGTGCCTGAAAGTTCAAGGCCACACTTGGGAAAAGACTTGCAGTTCTGGCAAAAGAAGAATGATTCTATTGTAACTGTCATCTGATCAGGACTGGGCAGGAATAGAGGCCGGGGTGGCCTTCCTGGTTCAGAAGAGTGTAAATGAGGGTTAGACTCTCAGTGTGAAACAGCTGGAAAGGTACCTGTCCAGCCCTTTTCTTTTTTTTTTTTTTAACATCTTTATTGGAGTATAATCGCTTTACAATGGTGTGTTAGTTTCTGCTGTATAACAAAGTGAATCAGCTATGCATATACATGTATCCGCACATCTCCTCCCTCTTGGCGTCTCCCTCCCTCCCATCCTCCCTATCCCACCCCTCTAGGTGGACACAAAGCATGGAACTGATCTCCCTGTGCTATGCGGCTGCTTGCCACTAGCTATCTATTTTACATTTGGTAATGTATATATGTCCATGCCACTCTCTCACTTCGTCCCAGCTTACCCTTCCCAGCCCTTTCTTTTGAAATACAAGGACCCTGGAGCCCAGGGAGGTTGTCTGCAGACCATCATACTGCACACCAGTGACTGAGACAGGACTCCTGACTCTCACTTCAGTGCTCCTTTCTTCACATCACACCTTTACATAATACAGATGGCCTCAGATCTGAGAACTGCTAAAAAATACTGCAGAGGTTACTCTTTCTGTTCTGAGGAAAACAAATCAGAGATCTGAAAACATACCAAATACTCAGGCATTATGTTTTACATTATACACATTTTAAAAATACATATTGTGGGCTTCCCTGGTGGTGCAGTGGTTGTGAGTCCGCCTGCCGATGCAGGGGACGCGGGTTCGTGCCCCGGTCCGGGAAGATCCCACGTGCCGCGGAGCTGCTGGGCCCGTGAGCCATGGCCGCTGAGCCTGCGCGTCCGGAGCCTGTGCTCCGCAGCGGGAGAGGCCACAGCGGCGAGAGGCCCGCGTACCGCAAAAAAAAAAAAAAAAGGTAACTAAAAAATACATATTGTGATGACACTATAATCAGAATGTTTGGCCTTGCATTAAACACAACTTTTAAATGAGAATGAAAAGTTAAAATCCATCGAAAGAATTATCTGTGCATCTTCCTAATCTACTGTCCTAGCTTCACCTCTAACAATACCTAATTCCTCACCCTTTTCCTGTGGTAATGTTTTTTTACGTTTCTACCTTTGCATGTGCTGCTTCCTGTGCCTAGAAGCCTCTTTTCTTCATAAATTGACTCATTTGTTCAAGTTACTAGGTTCTCCGTGTAATCTTCCTATTCCAATTCTAGTCCTGTTGGTTTTTGCATTTGGTACATTCTAGCACTTAATGGACTTTAATTATTTGGATGTGACAGTGTCTTCAGCCAGTAACGATCTCCTTAGAAACGTCCCAAGCCTTAAGGAGTGTGCTCAACACCAGCACTTCTCCCACACTTTTTCAGAATTAGAAATAAAAATGAGATGTAAGCAAAGCAACGGTGAACACAGGATTCTCTATGTAAGTTACTTGCAATAGGAGGAGGCGGACTTTGGATGGTGAGTCTGTGGGCCCTTATTACATATTTAAAAATAAATAAATAAAAATTCTATATTACTAAGGTACAGTAACTAGAAATTATTTACACGAGGGAGAAGATTGGCGCTTCTGTTATTACCAGTTACTCCACAAAGGTTCCTCTTTGACTTTAAACTGTCCACAGTTAATGTTCCCTGCATTAATAAACATGTAAAGTCGAAATGGGCAATTAAAGGTTAAATTTCTCTTTC